TTTATTGTGATTTGGGTGAAGATTTACAGAGCAAATTCACTTTCCATATAGCAGTTCACATACACTTTGTCTCATGACATTGACCACAGTTTACCATAATGCAACAGCTCCCCTCCCACCTCCTCCCTCCAGTTACCTCTTCCCAGTGTCCATCCCTCCATGGGCTCCTGCTCTCTGAGCTGTCTCCCTGTGCATAAGCAGCCCTTCTTTCTCCCACGATTGTTCTCTCCAAGGAGTCTATCTACTTGAGGTAAATGTTTGACTCATATGCCCAAGGCTGCTTCTTATATACGGGAAGCAGACCACATCCCTAAAGCAACTACTCAGCTGCTTGTGGTAGATCCCACCATGGAGTTGATTGCCAGTCTCATCATGAGGAATAACTACCACTAGCTGCCCAGCCACTCAGCCAGGCCCAGCCAAGTTGATACACAACCTTAACTACCAGAGGGTTGATCTGTGCCTTGTAGCAAGTTGAGCAGCAACCTGGGCCTCTCCCCACTAGATGCCTGTATTGTCCCCTCCAACTTCGCCCCAGTTTTAACAACAAAAACCGTCTCCAGATATTTCCAGATGTCCTTAAGGGGCGAAATTGCCCTTGGTAGAGGCCCAGTGTTTGATTACTAGTCTTGTGGGTTAAGTGTTGAGCTCACTTTGTGAAAACTCATGAAGCTATATATGTATGATGAGTGAACTTTTCATATGCATATTATATTTTAGTAAAGAAGCTAAGTCTTTCAAATTTAAAAAGAAGTCAATGAATAACTAAAAGAACCAAAAAGTTGTAAAGCTACCAGGGATGACAACTCTCCCTGGTGGTAAACATTTAACACCCTCAGCTACTAACCAAAAGTTTGGAGGATCAATTTCACCCAGAGATGTCTCAGAAGAAAAGTCTAGAAATCTACTTCAGAAAGATCAACATGGAAACCCAACAGAACACAGTTCTGCTCTGACACTCCTGGAGGCTTCATGAGTTGAAGTCAACTCAGTGGTAACTTTTTTTTTCTTTTTTGCATCTTGTTTACACATAAGGAGACTAAGATCCAGGCTCACTCAAGGCCATGGACCAGAAAGACTCAGCAGAGAACCCTCACTCCTGACTTCTATTCCCTTACTCTTACCCCACTTCTCTCATGCAGACTTACCCCCAAATGCCACCTAAGTCAGTATCAAGCGGGGCCTCAGTGAGATAGTCTGAAGCAGAATTGCATAGTGGAAAGATTTAGAATTGGTAGATATTGTACCCCAGCACTTTGCAAAGAAATTCTGGAAACCAAATCTGGTGCAAACAGGATATTAGCTTTTGTCAGAAAGATCAAAAAGAGCTTGAGGTTTTCTTTTCACAGCCTCAGCCTCTCCTCCTCCCTCTCCCTCTCTTCTTTATCTACTGAGTTTGAGTAGCAAGGCAAACCTCTCCAACTGTGAACAGGAAGAAATGGCAGCAAGTGAGACACAGCTCTACGCCAAAGTCTCCAACAAGCTCAAGGGCCGAAGTACCTCCTCTCTCCTGGAGCCCCTCTTGGCAAAGGGCTTCCCAGCACACACCGCGTGAGTACTGCTGCTGGTGGGAACACATGGGGCTGGACTAGCTGTCCGGGAAACAGACCCTTCTGCAGCCCAGCCACAGCCCTGCAGGTAGCTCAGAGCACTCACTTCCTGTCAAGGGGGTATACACTGCAGTGCAAAATATAGTCTAAAAACACAGCCTTTCCAGTTTTTCTAGATGAGATGATCTGTACCTTTATAATACAAATTGTGCTGGCTGTCTGATTAGACGTGTCCTGAAATTTGTAGAAATTAGACTTTAGTTGTTGCTGTGGCTGCCCCTGTTTCTCAGGGTTTGGAAGAACTTCAGGGCTGGTTGCAATCTCTGTGTGTAGCTCAATGACTCTGAAAGTATATTTCAAGGTATGTCAGACTAATTCAAAAGATCCCAAAGTCCAGGGAGTCTGTGAAGTGAGGGTCCACTGGAAGAACTCTCAGTGAATCCATGCTCTAAACTGTGTAGAGAATACCATCAGATGTTACCAAAAATTTCTTGAATGTCTGAAAATCAAACAAAATGGTCAAGAATTACAGGACTATGTTAGCATGGCCCAACTTATCCAAAAGAAAGGTCTGCATATGCAAACTTTGAACCTTCAGTATTTCTTCTCTCAGAGAGGGAAGAAATCCCTAAAACCAGTAGGCGGATAGTCCTCATATTGATACCAGCTTTCACATTAAACTGATTTCTCAAATTCGCTTCTTTTCAAGTGCTTATTTGCATGGAGAAATAGATCAGCAATATAGTTTGGTAATCTATGGTTTGAGAGGGGGAAAACTTTCCATAAACCTTATAACAAGACCCTGGCCAAATTGAATGAGATAACTTTGAAGGTAGACCACTCTCTTATCCCTCACAAGATGAGAACATTGCTGGCATCACTGGTGCTGCAGTTAGTTGGTGCCGAATCAACTCTGACTCATGGTGGCCTTGTGTATAATATAATTAAACTGTGTCTGGTTCTGTGGCATTACCTTAAATATGGGAACGAATTTTGCCAGTATAGGCTGCCTGCTACGAGTGGGACACCATCCTAGGCAATTCGGACCCAGTACCTCCCTTCTAAGCCTCACTATTTTGGTTACTTCTGTGCTGCTCTGAAAGAAAATATCACCAATGGGATGGCTTTCACAAACAGGAGCTTATTCTTACAATTTTAGAAACTAGAAGTCCGAGTTCAAAGTGCCAGGCTCTAGCTGCTAGGTGAAATCTCCTCAACCTTGGGCTTCAGCTCTGCCTCCTGCTCCCGGCCCACTGAAACTAGAGGCTTTTCTTTACTCTGGCAGCAGCTGGCTACTGTGGCTGACAAACCCAAGGCCGACAAGTGTAAAAACATAGTCCTGATATCACCAGACAACATGGCAGGCCACTAATTCAAGTCCAGAAAAAGTCCCAAGATCAGCAGGACATGGCAGGCAGTTGAAAAACGACTTGGCTGCATGCAGGGTTCAAGCGTGCCAAAAAGACAAAGACCTTCCTCAAAGCTGCTTCTTATATACTGGAAGCAGACCACATCCCTAAAGCAGCTACTCAGCTGCTCCAGTAGTTTCCACCATGGAATTGATTGCCAGTCTCACCATGGGAATAACTACATCCAGCTGCCCAACCACTCAACCAGTTGACAACAACCTTAACTACCACAGTCACCAACCCATATTGCAGAAGTGGATGCTGAGGCTCAGAATGGACAGTTACTAAGAGCTGGACTTGAACCTGGCTCCCACTCCCTCTTAATCCCATCTCTTTCTACCACCAGTTGCTCTGGGGCTGTAGCATAGACTCATATTTAAATGCCTTCTAATTTAAACATTACACATATGTTGGGGATGGGGAGATGTATTGTAAGACATTCCTATAAACTACCTCACCAGGTAGCCAGATCCCCAATGGTATTCACCAAAATAGGACCATTGATCAGCCCAGTATAATGTTCCTCATCAACTCTAGCTATTTCTGCCCTTAATTTCTGAGTAAATTGTTGTTGTTGTTAACTGTATTCAAGTTGGCTTCCACTCATGGTGACCCCAAGTACAACAGAACGAAATGTTGCCTGATTCTGTGTCATCTTCATGATCATTGGCATGTTTGAGTCCATTGTTGCAGTTATTGTACAGTGTCTTCCAAACGAGGGGGCTCATATTCCAACAGTATCTTGGACAATGTTCTGATGTTTTCCATAAGGTTTTTGCTGGCTAATTTTCAGAACTAGATCACCAGACCTTTCTTCTTAGTCTGTCTTAGTCTTGAAGCTCCACTGAATTTGACTCTATTGTATTTGAAATACCAGTGGCATAGCTTCCAGCATATAGCAACATGCAAGGCACCACAGTGCAAGACATTGGAAGATGGGTGGTTGCTGAGTAAATTACCTTAACCATTTTTCACCCCGCTCAATTTGGTCAAGTTCAAACTGGGTCACAGTGATGAATTAGACACAGCCTGACTTCAGAGTACTTGTGGTCTAGTAGGGGAGACACATATGCATGAAAATTACTGCGATGAGATCCATTGCCATTAGTTGCAATAGAGGCAATGCCACCTCATGGTGACCCCATGTGTACAGAGTAGGACTGACCCATAGGGTTTTCAAGCCTGTCAACTTTCAGACTCATATCACTAGGACTGTCTTCTGAGGAGCTGCTGGGTAGATTCAAACTGCCAATCTTTTGGTTAGTAGTCAAGGGTTTAAATGTCTGCACCATCCAGGGACTCTACAAGAGAGAGAAGCAAAGTAGAGGGCTGCACACCAACTCTGCCCGGGCAGTTTGAGGAAAGTTTCCCATAGCGGATGTTGTCTGAGATGAGCTGCAGGGTATCAGTACAATTTCTATGAGGGTGCATGGCAGTTGTCATTGTTGTTGTTGCTGGTTGCCATGTAGTTGGCTCCAACTCATAGCTACCTTAGGTACAACAGAACAAAACATTCCTAGCCCTGTGCCATTTTCCAGATCATTGGCATATTTGAGCTCATTGTTGCAGCCACGTGTCAATCCATCTTATTGAGGATTTTCCTTATTTTTGCTAACCCTCTACTTCACTGCAGTGGCTTACCTGTTGCTATGATGCTGAAAGCTATACCACTTGTATTTCAAATACCAGCAGGGTCATCTACAGTGAACAAGTTTCAATGGACCTACTGAACTAAGACAGACTAGAAAGAAAGGCTTGTTGATTTTCTTCCAAAAATTAGCCAATGAAAACCCTACAAATCACAACAGAACACTGGAGTAGGGCTCCTTTTGGCAGGAAACACATTTGCAAAGGCCAGGGATGTGCCCCAGCATGGCAAACCCCAGGACCCACAAGTGATTCCATGTTGCTTTGGGGCAGGGAGTGTGGGAAGAGTCGAGTAGATGGGACTGCAGGAACGGACAAATGTCAGGTCACCAGGCATTTGTATACCTCTGGGCATAATGCAAAGAACTGAAGGTAGGGAATCAAGGAAGGAAAATGAGCAAGTAGTGATATGAGCAGGTTTGCATTTTCAAGAGCATGGTAGTGGCTTGTGGAGGATGGAGACCTGGTCATGTGTGCTCCAGCTGCAGACATCTGGCTGGCAGTCCAGGCCCCATCAGAACACCCTGAGGTCTGATGTGCTGTAGGACCATATATGCTTCTCTCACCCTTTCTCAAATATGGAAGACAACTCTGAGTGTCCCTTGTGTTCTACACTTTCTATAGGTTCAAAGCACTGGCAGCTACTGGCAGAAAGACAGCAGAAGAGGCAGCAGAATGGTGAGTGGGGCTGATTTTGCTGAGGAACGTTTGCTTGAACTGCCCTGGGTGTTGGGACTTCTGCTTTCCTAGGTGGAAGCTGGGAAGTACCCTGTGCTCTCTGGGCGGGACTGGGAGCCACTGTGAAGGTGAAACAGAGTAACCACCATTTTTACCCACCTAGCACATAGGGAAGGAAAGCAAAAAGAGAGTCCTTGTTTAAAAAGGGAAAAAAGAACTTTGAATAAATCTGTCTTCAGATGGAAATCTGATTTAATCCATATTTTGAGTGTCAAAGAAAAGTTGACATGATTTGTTGAATAAATAGGGATTATAGGGATTTGTTTATAACCATATTTGGTGTTATAGCAGAGATGGCTCCACCATCTCAGGTGACCTCTCATGAAAAGAGTAGTGAACTGTCCTAAGGCATGTTTGCCCTTTATGGGGCCTGTGGCCACAGCAGCAGGGTGAGGTGAGGGGATCTGGGTTCCAGACAGCTCCTATGCCCTGAATCCACTGTGACATTCTGTGCAAGACACTCACTGTCATTGGTCTCGATCTCCTGCTCTAAAACCCAATCCAGCCCAATGTAGCACCTTATGCCATAGCAGTTTCCTGAACTACACTCTAATAGTAGGATGTTGGTGGTGGTCATGGCTGTTGCTGTTGAATTGCACACAGCAACCCCATGTGTGCAGAGTAGAACTGCTCCACAGGGTTTTCAATAACTGTGATTGTTCAGAAGCAGATCACCAGGCCTCTCCTCTAAGGTGCCTCTGAGTAGCTTCAAACCACCAACCTTTCGACTTGTCAAGTGCTTACCCATTTGTGCCACCCAGGGCTTCCAATCACAGGATAACCACCATGAAATCAAACAATAAAAACCAAGTCCTGTGTTCTGGGAAAGGGAAAACTATGGAGACAGTGAAGCCATCAGTGATCAGGGTTCAGGGGAGTGGGGAGGAATGAACAGGGCATTTTCAGGGCAGTGAGCCTGTTCTGCAAAAGAGCTCTGGTAGAATAGTGGGTAAGGCATTTGGCTGCTAACAAAAAGGTCCTTGGTTCAAACCTACCAGCTGTTCTGCAGAAGGAAGATGAGGCAATCTACTTCCATAAAGTTTTACAACCTTAGAAATCTAAATGGAGATTGCTATCAGTTGTAATCAACTCGATGGCATTGGGTTTGGTTTGGTTTTAGAACGTATTCTGCAGGATACTGTAATGGTGGACACATGACATCATGCATTTGTCAAAACACATAGAGCTGTACAACACAAAGAATGAACGCTAATGTAAATTATGGACTTTAGTTAATAATAATGCATTGGTACTCAAAAACTCACTGCCATAGAGTCAATTCGACTCATAGCAACCCCTCCTTCGATTTCCAAGGTGATATCTCTATGGAAGCAGATTACCCAATCTTCCTTTCGAGGAGTGGCTGGTGAGTTTGAACCATCAGCTTTCTGGTTAGTGTCAAATGCCTTAGGTACTATACCACCAGATATATTGGTTCATTAACAGTGATAAATGTGCCATACTGATGTAATTCCTATTCCCATTGAACACGTTGATTCTGACTTATCACGACTCTATAGGACAGAATAGAACCACCCCATGAAGTTTCTAAGGCTGTAAATCTTTATGGAACCAGACTGCCACATCTATCGTACACAGAGCAGCTGGTGGGTTCCAACCGCCGAACTTCTGGTTAGTAGCTGAGTGCTTAACCACTGCACCGCCAGAACTCCTCATACTCATGGAATAGTATGTTAATAATACATATGATTAATAACATGTTTATAATATTAAACATGTAAATAATAGAAACCATGTGCAGAAGGAAGAGGGGGTATGTGGGAATTCTCTATACTTTCTGCCAATTTTTCTATACACCTAAAACTGCTCAAAAAAATACCTCTGTTTTAAACTGCTCAAAAAAAAGTTTACTTTAAAAGGTGAAGTAGTCCCTCTCAAACAAGATGGCAAATACTGAATTATCAAGTCTCGAGTGTCCAGTGTGCTCTTAGTGGGTATGCCCTTCCCCCAAATACTCTAAGGCAATGGCAAAAATCAATCAATCAATAAATAATGAAATCCCTCCAAAGGATGAATGGAAATGCCTAGAACCCTCAGAGATGGTCTAACTCCTCTAAAGCCAGTTGCCAAATTTAAATTGGAAGGCAAGCTTACTGTTGCGAGGAGGTGTGGTAGGAGCCTGTCAATTCCACTAATTACCAATAAGACTAGAAGATTTGCCAAGGTAAAGAGCCAGTGAGGTCCCCTAAACTCAGACAAGAAATAGGCCCAACCTTGCTGGTAATCAAGGAAGTGCAAATTAAGATATTATTATAAACAGTAAAGATATATTTAAGTACAGTTGAGGGTGAGGGGAAGACTTTAATGTTCTGGAATTCTGCTAGTTGCTCTGGGGAAGGCAACCCAGATTCCATTAACATGGAAAATGTGCATAGCTGACCACCCAACACCTCCATTTCTAACTATCACCCTGAATAAACACAAAGAGCCTAGAAACACATGTACAAAGATGTTGATTACAGTGTTAGACTAAAAATTTTTTAAAGAAAACAAAAGTCCATCACTATCGGTGTGGATAAATGTATGTAATGGAATATGATACAACCCTTAAAAACTCCACACTGCCAAACTTAATAAGACACATATACAACAACAGGGAAAAACTTTAAATATATATCATTGAGTGAAAGATGCAAGTTGCAGAATAATTTGGATAGTAACTTATGAATTATATAAACATACACAAATGCTATCTACATATTTGTTAAATTACTGTGTTGTCGTTATTGTTATGTGCCATCAAGTCGGACCCGACTCATAGCGACCCCTCCTTGGGTTTCCGAGGCAGTGTCACTACGGAAGTAGATTGCCCAACCTTCCTTCTGAGGAGTGGCTGGTGGGTTTGAACTGCCAGCCTTCTGGTTAGCAGTCAAGTGCTTTAGGTACTAAGCTACCAGATTGCTGCAAATTGCTAGCTATAGATTAATTTAATTTTGGATGAATACAAAGCAGTTTCACAGTGGGTTACCTCTGGAAGGGAGGAAGGAAACCAAGATGAAAGGATTATAGCTTCCTCTGTATTTTTTTAAGGCGAATGTATTTGTGTGTGTAACTGATGTAATTATAAAGGAGCTCTGGTAGTGCGGTAGTTAAGGCTTTTGGCTGCTAAGCAAAACACAGTTGGAACCCAACAGCCGCTGCTCAGCAGAAGAAAGATGAGGCAGTCTGCTTCTGTAAAGATGTATAGCCTTGGATACTTTATGGGGCAGATCTACTGTGCCCTGTAGTGTCGCTATGAGTTGGAATTGACTCAATGGCAAGGGATTTTTTTTGTTTCTTAATGTAATTATAATTTTATAAAATGAAATAAACCAGGCATCAGCTATTGCCCTCCCCCCATAAAAATGAAAGTGGTGACCTTCTGATCTGCTTCAGGCTGTACTGCTTGTCCTCTACACCAGGTGCATGGATCCTAGGATTTCCTGTCAACATCATGCTGGGGATTCCCCCTGCCTCGCCCGTATTTATGATCAGTTGTCCTATATCCACATCTTTTTCTTTTTGGTTATGAGCTTACTTTGGCAGAGCATATCATTGAGTAACGTTTTGAGAAAGAGTACTTGAAAGGAAAATAATTTAAGGCAGAACAAGTCTGGAAATGGCTTTATTCTTCCATGTTCTTTGATTAATTGTTTAACTGTACATAAAATTCTAAGCTGAAAATTATTTTCCACATTGTCTCTACCTTCAAGTATCACTGTTGAGAAGCCTGAAGATATTTTGATAGCTGACCTTTATATGTGATCTTTCTTGTCTCTTTCTGGAAACCCAAACAATCTTCTCTAGGTCCTTGGTGTTCTGAAGTTGTACAGGTCTGTTTTCATCCACTGTGTTAGGCACTTGTTGAACCCTTTCAATATGAAAACACACATCTTTCCTCTGTTCTTGGAAATGTCTTAAATTATTTTAGAGATAGTTTTTCCCCTCTGTTTTCTAAGTTCTCTCTTTCTACAAATCTAATTTAAATATTAACTGTACTGGACTAGGCCTCTAATTGTCTTTTCTTTCCTTTTTTTTTTTTTTTTTAATTTCATGCATTCCATTTTTCTTTTTGCTGTCCTTTCTAGAAAATGTCCTTAATTTTATATTCCAATCTATTTATGTTTCACTTCTAACATGCTTGAAATTTCTAAGAGCCATTTTTTTGATTCTCTGAATGTTCCTTTTTTAATATAACAGACTTTTTGTTTTATTTTGTTTTGGTTTGGTTTTATATGTTTAGTGATTGAAATATTGCCTCATCTTTCTCAGGACAGTAACAATTTAAACTTCCTCATCTCTTTGCCTAGTCTTTTTTCTCCAAGTTGCTTCTCCCTCCTTCCTCTCCCCCTCCCCCTCCCCTTCCCCTCTCTCTCCCCCTCTCCTCCCTCTCCCTCTTCCCTCCCCCTCCTGCTCTCCCATTTTCATTTTAGAGCCTTTGCTCATTTGCCTGATAACCATCAGCTATCCACTTAGATTTAAGATTGGGAGCTCTGAGAAACTGTATGGGCTTATGAACCCCAAGCTTCATTGCAAGGTTTTCTGACTTGACCATGTCACTGAGGACCTCCAGGAGTTCTTAGCTTTTTCTTCAAGTACTGGCGAAGGTCTCAGCAAAGATTCTTTCAGTTTCCTGCCAGGGAGATGAAAGCCTTGTGGCTCATGTTCTGGGAGCTGAACTGGAGGATGGGGCTGCTCCAACACCCTGTGCTTTTCCTTCTGTAAGATTCCTGCCAGTTGTGCAAAGGGAGGAGGGTATCTGGGCACCTCACACTGTCATACAACATTCCCATTTCTCAAGGCTGCATGTCAGTTACCACCTGTTCACCTGCTTTCCATCTGCCAAAATGTTGCTGTTGGTGCCTCCTCTCCCTTTATCCCAATCATTGTGAGTTTATTACTTTCATTTTTTTTTAAGTCCTTTCACTGTTGTTTTATTGGGTTTGACAAAGAAATGAAACTATATGCAAGTGTTCAATATCTCATTTTTTTCCTGAAAACTTATCTTGCTTTTAAAAATAGCTTTACCACATATGTATATATCTGCAAACAATACAATGTTTAGAGTTCTTTCCTTTTGAATTGTACAGAGAGATTTTGGTAAATAGGTTTCTGCAACTTCCTTTCTCAGATCCACGTTATGTTGCTACAATTCACACAGCTGCATGGAGCTGTAGTTCATCTTCACTGCTCAGTACTATTTCATCGCATGACTGCTCCATTTATTTATCCATTTTCCTATGCCATCATTGGGTTATTTTCTGCTTTTTTTCCCCTCTATTGCAAACAACACTGTCATGAACATTTAATATTTTTTTGTATAATATTTTCTTGTGTTTTCAGAGAAAGTTTACACACCAAATTAGGTTCTCATTTGACAATCAGTACACAAATTTTTCAGTGGTATTAGTTATATTTTTCACAATGTGTCAGCATTCTCGTTAATTGTATGCTGGTTTCTCCATTTCCAGTGCTCTAGTTTTCCTGTCTCTCTTGTCTTCTCATCTTTGCTCTGTAATTGTTGGTAATTGTTGACCTTTTTGTCTCATATAGATGGTTTTTCAGTCTTAGAGGTAATATCCCTTATTTTGTGTGCCAATCTGTTATTTCACTAATAGATGACCTCAGGTTTCAATTCAAGGTTTAGGGTATCTCAGGATGACAGTCTCAGGGAGTCCTCTAGTCTCAATTGTTCCAGTAAATCTGGATTTTTTCAGTTTCGTTCCACACTTTTCTCCCATTCTGTCAGAGTCTATCTATTGTGGCCCAGACCAGAGCCGTCAGTAGTGGTAGCCAGGCACCGTCTAGTGCTTCTGTTCTCAGGGCAAATGAGGCTGTGTCTTGTATAGGCTATCAGCCCTGTAGACTAATTTCTTCTCTGAGACTGTGGTTTCCTTCTTTCTCTTTTGCTTCTAATGAACAGAGACGATAGCTGTATCTTAGATGGCCACTCCCAAGCTTTTAAGACCACAGATGCTACTCACCTTACCAGGATGTAGAACATGAACTTTGTGATGACAATTGATGAAGTTGTCCCATGAGACTAAGGACCTGAGCCTTCAAACCTAGAAAAACCTTCTCGCAAGATGTTTGGTTATATCTGAGAAGTATCTGTAACTGTGCCCTCTATAAATTATATATGTATGTAGACACATATCTGTACATATATGTACATATAGATCCTTCTATCTGTACACATATGTGCTCACTTATGCCTACCCTGTACACATATATGCTTATACACCTACACCTACATATATGATCATACATTATATATAATGTTGTTGTTCTTGTTATGTGCCGTCAAGTCGGACCCAACTCATAGCGACCCCTCCTTGGGTTTCCAAGGCAGTATCACTATGGAAGTAGATTGCCCAACCTTCCTTCTGAGGAGTGACTGGTAGATTTGAGCCATCAGCCATCTTGTTAGCAGTCAAGTGCCTTAGGCACTATGCTACCAGAGCTATATATATATATATATATATATATGGGTTTTCTTTTTTTTGGCTGTAGTACACTAATTTTTTTATTATTGTTGGTTGTCATGAACATTTTTGCCACCGTTCTGGATGCATACATGGAAGAATCTCTCTGGGTTTCATGCCTAGAAAGGAAAAAATGTGTTTAGGGTTTACAATTGTATAAATCATTGCCAACTTGTTCTCTCAAATGGTTGTGTTCTGTTTTCCAAACTTAGTATTATACTACAAACACTTCCCTGAATCATTAGAAATTCTTTCAGACCATGATTTCTAATGAATACATGATCAATTGCATTGTTATCATTGATCTATTATTTTTTCCCTTCTTTTTTATTATAAAAACTCTTCAATAAGTATTCTATACATGAAGTTTTGTCTATACGTCTTGCTTTTTCCTTGAAATAAATTACTGGAAGTAGAATTATTAGTTCAAATGGTATAAATATTTTATGGCTTTTGGTACCTATTGGCCAATTGCATTATGTAAAGTATATACCAACTCAGGAATGGAGTATTCCATTAACAAATATGGCCCCTCATCCCATCCCTTGCCTGTCCGACCAAAATATAACTACCATCCTGAATTCTGCTGCACACTTTGATACAATTGAGCATAACTTTTATCCTTTAAAAAATCTTTATTAATTTGACAGATGATAAAAAATGACATCTCATGCGTGTATTTCCATTTTTATTATTAGTGAGAATGAATTCATATTTTGGGTCATAAATCAGATTTTCTTGTATTTAGAATAACTCTCTGAAACCAAAGAAAATACAATAGCCACCTCAGTCTGTGTGTTTAGTTTTTTTACAACTTTTTATTGTCGGTTTGGTGAAATTTTACAAAGCAGATTCATTTTACCTTCAACAATTAATACACGTTTTGTTTTGTGACACTGGTTACATTCCCTGCAGTGTAACAACTCTCATCTCCCTTCCTCTCTGTGGTTACCATTTCCCTGTGTCCTTCTTGCCTGTGCATTCCTGCCTCTCTATCTTTTCCCCTATGCAAATGCTGCCTTTCTGATCTCCCATGGTTGATTGTTCTAAGAAGGACATCTCCCCAGTATAGTTGTTCAGCTCTTGTTGTTGTTGTTGTTGTTTGCCGTCAAGTCAGACCCGACTCATAGCGACCCCTCCTTGGGTTTCTGAGGCAGTATCACTACGGAAGTATGTTCAGCTCTTTGGCCTACCTATTACTTGGCTGAGAGTTAAGCCATGGGAGTGAGTTCAATTCCAGGTCCGAAGGGTGACTTGGAACCATAGTCTCAGGGGTTTCACCAGTCTCTATCAGACCAGTAAGCCTGGTCTTTTGTATGTTTTTTAATTTTGTTTCACATTTTTTCTTCCGCTCTATCCAGGATCACCAATTTTGATTCCTTTCCAAGTGTTTGGCATTGGTAGCCAGGCACGATCTAGTTCTGATTTCAGGGTTGAGGTTCTCATGGTCCATTAGTCCTTTGGACTATTTCCACACATCTTTGATTTTTCTTCACTCTTCTTTGCTCCAGATCAGGAGAGATCAAGAGTTGCATCTTAGATGGCCACTCTCAAGCTTTTAAGATCCTAGTTGCTACTCATCGAAGTAAGATGTAGAACAATATTTTTATATACTATGTTGTGCCAATTGAGCTTGATGTCTGTCCCCCATGAGCATAATAGCCACCTAAGCTTTATCTCTTTTCTTGTGGTTTTGATTTTCATATTTAGCTTGAAGTATGAGATAAAATGAAAATGTATCTTCTTTTCTGCAAGATTTTCCAATGTTCTTTACCATGGTGATAATTGGACAGAGACCAGGTTTTGAATTTTATCTCAATTTTCTTTCATATTCTCTGTCCTTGGGTTTTGGGATCAGACTGATCTGGACCTGAGACTAGGGTGGAAATGACAAGCTCTGTGGCCTAAGCAAAGCCTCACTGCTCTATGCATCTCACCTGTCTGAGAAAGACAATAATAGCATTGCCTCCCTGGAAATGGAGGAGTTATTCATGTAATGCATATCTAACACTCAGCACATTCCATTACTTTGAGATGCTGTCATTGCTGCTATTGTCCTAACTGGGGAAAGGGAGCTTATTGTCATGACACCAGGTGACATTGGCCTGGTTGGGTTTGTTTTTTTCTATTGTTGTTGCAGGCTACACTCTCACTGCAATGACCCTTCTCTAGATGACCCCATCCCTCAAGAGTACACCCTCTTCCTCTGTCCCACGGGCTCCCTGCTGGAAAAATTACAGGAGTTCTGGAGAGAGAGCAAGCATCAGTGTGCCAAGAACAAAGCTCATGAGATCTTCCCTCACATGACACTCTGTGACTTCTTCACGGTGAGTCAGCCTTTCATGCTCACACAGCCACTGAAGTCACTTTTCTGTGATAATGATAGGTAATAACAGGACAAAATGGAGGGGTAGCCACGTGGTTTATTTTCATGGGTTGGCCCAGAACTGTAGCATAAGTGGGCCCATTGTATAGAGTGTCCTTTCTTTCCTCCTCTCCGTCTGGCCAACTTTTATTCATCCTTCAGGACCCAACTCATTTATCCTCTCCTTTTTAATTCTTCCCCAGTGCCCCCGATGGAAGGAATTGCTTCCCTTTGTGTATCTTTTTGTTTTCATGTTTTATTACAATGTGTCTGCTTCAGCTCTGAATCCCTCACTACATTTAATCCCTCCAGGGAAGATGATACTCCCGGAGACTAGCACTGTGCCTAAAACTGTAGGTGTTTCATAAATGAACAAAATAAAGGATGATTATTGGCTAGACACAAATGCAGGACTTTTCTCTGCCTGAGGGATCAGACCTCTGATGTAGAAAAGGGCCAAGGGGGGAGCTTCATAAGGGTCCTGGGAAGATGAGAAGGGCCTGGTGACTGCTCAGAAGGAAGGAGGCATGAGGAAAAGGAAGTGAGGTACAGGCATTCCCTCTATGCCCCCCACATGGGGAATCTGGAGAAGGGCACACCCAGCTTCCATTACATCCTGGCCTGGCCCTGCTTCTGCTGCCAGCAAATGGCAACTTGTTGCACCCATTTCAAGGGGTTTCACCAGGGCCTGAGAAACCCCCATTCTATCTGGACATTCAGCCTACACAACACTGCATGACAAGAGGCAGGCAGACCTCTGCAGGGGAAAGTTCTGTGGTACTCCCTGAGAGGAGAGCCTCTTCCTACAGCCCTTGACACAGAGTCAGCCTGGGTCTTTCAGTGTTAAAACTGGGAAAGTCCCAGGCAAACTGAGACAAACTGTCACCCTGTCTTAACATTACAGAGCGTTGTGATAGACTCCTATCTGGCTTATCTTCAGAAGTTCATTGGGGAATAGAAAGACAGCCAAAGCTGAGAGGTGAAATGTCAGCTTAGAAATAAGACATCCTCAATCATGGCAGTGAGAGAGCAGATGTCAGCCTCCAAGCTTCTTTCCCTGAACCGTAGAGGTACATGCACACACACACATGCACACACATGCACAATCATACACACACAGAGACACACATACACCCAAGGTCACACATGCACACACAGAGACACACATATCTACTGTCACACAGACATACGCACACACACTCCACATACATAGACACATGCATGCACACACACTGAGACACACAGACACACACATACACTAACACACATAGAGATACTCACATGCACAAATACACACAAATGTGGTCAGTCACCTCCCTTCTCTTGTGGTAACCCTAACCCCCACCACCACCACCGCACTCCTGTCTTAGTTAATTGAGGGCCTCTTTCTGGGAAAAGAGTGTAATAGACATTCACTTTATGTCTTGATACTGTAAAATGAAAATATCAGCCACCATGTAGTGATGCCAATTACATCTATGTTCATTATATGACTCTGTGTTTGCAAATTACACATCGGAAAACAAAAATGTAATGTGGTTGGATTCATGAGTGGACAGTTACTCCCCCTGTGGCTGTGATGAGCAGAGGATGTGCACATGCATTTTCCTAGGCACCCTGGAGCTTAAAAGACAAGACAAGTGTTTTGGTTACCTAATGCCACTCTTACAAGAATATACCACAAATGGGATGGCTGAACAAACAGGAGTTTATTCTCTTACAGTTCAGGAGGCTAGAAGTCCGAGTTCAAAGTGCCAGGCTCTAGGGGCTGGGTGAAAGCCCCTTGACCTTGGGCTTCACTGCCTCTTGCTCCCAGCCCACTGAAGCTAGAGGCATATCTTCACTCAGGCAGCTACTGGCTGCTGAGGCTAACAAGCCCAAGGTCAACAAAAAGAAAGGCACAATCCCAATGTTATCAAACCATACAGCAGGCCATTAACTCAAGTCCATTGAAAGTCCCAAGGTCAGCAAAGCATGGCAGGCTGCTGAATAGTGACATGGCTACATGCAGGGTTCAAGAGTGCCATAAGCAAGAGACCATTGCCAAAGCTGTTTCTTATATACGGGTAGCAGACCACAAAACCAAAGGCAGCTACTCAGCTGCTCCCAGTAGATTTCACCATGGAGCTGATTACCAGTCTTATGGGGAATACTACATCCAGCTGCCCAGCCACTCAAGCAGGCCTAGCCAAGTTGACACACAAACTTAACCACCACAACAGGCCAGGATGAATGCATGAGTTCCTGGTCTAGAAGGGAGATGAGACTGTACATTAAAACACTGTCATATGGCTTTTTACTTCAGATAAGGAGAAGCATAGCAGGGAATTCAGAAGAGAGGCAGATGACTGGGAGAAGAAGGCCTGAGCCTGTTTCCTGCTAGGGGAGGTTTGTCCTCAAGTCCAGGAGTGGCCTGGGCACAGGTGGTAGGTGTGCTACAGGCTGGAATGTGAGTGAGGAAGTGGGGAACAGGAAGGCAAGGCTTGCTGAACCAACCCCTAAGGCCCTGAGAGATTGGGCTGAGCAGATTATACCAAATGCTCAGGTGGCAGGGAGAGCTTCTGCTGCTTAGGGGTAAAGGTTGTACCATGAGGACCCTGTTAGGAAGAGTGATGAAGCAGAGTATGTGCAGTGCACTGAAAGGGCAGGGGCCCAGTTAGAGTCTAGGCTGGTTCAGGGTCCTTCTAGAGCATACAATAAGGCAGAAGGAAAGGTATAGAGATTTGTTTGGAAGAAACACCTTTAAAGGGTAAGAGGCAAAGAAAGAAAAGAGCAGGGAGAACTCAGATGGTGATGTGGGTCTGTGAAGGAGACAGAGAGGAAAGAGGACAGGCGGCAGTGTCCCAGCCTGCAGCACTGCTCAGAGAAGTTTCCTGCTGCACCAGAGTCCTGCACAGTCAGTGAGCAACAGCCCAGCTCTGGCGTCCCTGCCATGCTCGATCTGGGGGCATGTGTCCAAGCTGGAGGGGTGTCAGCTAACTATACTCCTCACTGTAAGTTCTGAGCAGGGCACCTCCATGGTGGTCCCAGTCTACGGAAACTTCAAGAAGGTGAATGGTGAAATTCTGAGCAGAAATGCAGGCCAACAGAGTAAAGAAGTGGGATTCGCTCAAGATGGAAGCTGGGTTAAGTCAGCATGACTTGGAGAAATAGAATGTAGTTAAAATTACAATGGGGTTTTCAACCCAGGCACTTAAAGGATATTCTACTCCTCAGAAGGAAGGTTGGGCAATCTACTTCCATACAGATAACTCCTCAGAAACCCAAGGAGGGGTCACTATGAGTCAGATCCCACTCGACAATGGCAGTGAGTTTGGTTTTTTGGTTTGTCTAATTGAGCACCAGGGATAGAATAAATCCACAACCCCAAACACCCAAGTACTAGATATAGTTATCTACCACCCATCTGTCAGTGTGTAGTACTGGGTGGCTTGCATGGTGCTGTGATGCTACAAGTTATGTCACCAGTATTTCCAATAGCAGCAGAGGCACCCATGGTGGACAATTTTCGTCAGATCTTCCAGACTAAGACAGACTAGGAAGAAAGGCCTAGTGGTCCACTTCAGAAAATTAACCAATGAAAACACCATTGGATCACAATACAATATAATCCAATATAGTGCTAGATGATACTTTTAGATTAGAAGATACTCAAAGTAGACAGTGGCCACACTGTCTTGGAGTGTGGAGCGTACCAAGGCTCATGAAGATGGTGAGGGCAAGGCACCATTTCATTTTGTTGTATATGGAGTTGCCAGGAATCAGAGCCAACTTGACAGCAACTAACAACAACAACAGATAAAGTTGTAGAGATAATTATTTTGTTCTGAACAGAAGAGAATCTCACTTTGTTTGCTCTATAATTTTTATTTATTAAATAAATTGATGATTTTCTACCAAGATATGAAAAAGTACACTCTTGTCTCTTTCATTAGTGTGAAGACCATAAAGTGGAATGTCTGTATGAGGCTCTAAAGAGAGCTGGGGACCAGATCCTGGGCTCCTTCCCCTCTGTAGTTCCTCTGGTTCTCCACTCTTCCATCAGCTACCTTGGCTTCTTTATCAATGACAGCCCTGCAGACGTCATCCGGGAATTCACCATGATGTTTGCCACAGAAGCATCTGTCTTAGCAGGTAGGCAATCCCAGCAAGTGCCCCCTATGGTTAGCAGGTAAGGGAGTCCTTTGAGGCTACTCTCACCCAGCTTCAAAGCAAGGGGTCAATTCCGGGAAGCAAAGGGTCCAGGCCATTCTTTAAAATATCAGGGATCAGACAGCTGGTTACTTGTTACTACTTTTCAGCCAGTTACTTGAATATGCTTTAACCTGAGACATCTGTGTGGATCATGTTTTCTGAATGTCTTCGTCGCATAGTGCTCCTATAACAGAAATACCATGAGTGTGTTTAAGAACAAAATTTATTTTCTCACAGTTCAAACCAGGAGACCTAATTTAGGGTGTGGCTACAAGGGAAGGTACTTCTTTGAATATTTCAGTTTCTAGTAGCTGCCAGCGATCCTTGGAGTTCCTGGGCTTGTAGTTGTGTCTGCCATGTGGGTGTCTGTCTTCATACGGTGGCTTCCCCCTGTCTTTAGTCAATGTAACTACATCCTACTCAATGAGCCACCTCAAATGAGCCATTTCTTAAGTGAATAGCAAGATTCTGAGAACCAACAGGGTCTTTTCTTTAAGTGAGACTAGCCTTCTTTGTATTGATGTGGTTTCTCAAAACATTAAGCTATATTCCAGCTGCCTGTCACAGCAGGGTCTCCCACATATCAAGTGTGAGTGTGCAGATGCATGGATGAGTGGGGGTTGTGTATGCAGGTGCACATGAAGGGCTGACGCCTCCCCCAGCCCCACAGCCAGTGGACATCTCTCCACACGAGGTCAGCACTATGTGTAAGACAATTTTTAGGTTGATTTGGAATCCCCAGGTGGTGCGAACAGTTAATGTGCTCGACTACTAACCAAAAATTTGGAGGTTCAAGTCCACCCAGAGGCATCTTGGAAGAAAAGCCTGGTGATCTACTTCTGATAAATCAGCCATTAAAACCCTATGGAGCACAGCTCTATTCTGACCCTTGTGGAGTCTCTATGAGTTAGAATTGACTCCAGGACTACTGGTTTTTTTAAGTTGATTTATTTTAATTTTGGGGGGTTATGAGCTTAGTCTTCTCTCCTTGATTTTTTTTGGGAAAAGGCTCTTTGGACTCACTCTGAGAATCAGAAAAATTCCTTTACTCCAAATACCAGCATTGGCCCAGAGATTGAGGCTACATCTGACTTTGGTGGAAAGAATTCTGGACTTGATACCAGAAGATCTAAGTTTGACTTTTTCTTGGTCTCTACTTGTGGTGTGCCCTAAATCAACTCCTTTCACCCCCTTGAGTATTTCTTTTTCTTTATCTACAAGTGGTATGGCTCTTGCTCTTCAATAAATCATGCAGCAGCATTTTGGCGGATATCTCACTGTGGTCTCTGCACACAGATGGTGCTCAGTAGTGTCATGATTTGCTGAGTCTGAGACTTCAAGTGGCCGGGGGGACCCTAGTCAGAAGATCTCTCTCTGCCTTCCCAGTATTTAGTCTGTCCCTGTCTTTGGTCAGTACCCTTGGGTTTCCACTTGGAGTCTGGCTCAGTGGGTCCAGCACCTGTGTGGATCATGTTTTCTGAATGTCTTAGTCTCCTTTTTTGTTGTTGTTGTTGTGTGCCATCGAGTCAGCCCTGACTCATAGCGACCCCTCCTTGGGTTTCCGAGGCAGTATCACTACGGAAGTAGGATTGCCCAACCTTCCTTCCGAGGAGTGGCTGGTGGGTTTGAACCGCCAGCCTTCTGGTTAGCAGGCAAGTGTCTTAGCCACTTAGTCTCCTAGTGCTACTGAAATAGAAATACTATAAGTGGGTGTCTTTAAGAACAAAATTTATTTTCTTACAGTTCAAACCAGAAGTCCTAATTTGAGTGTGGCTACAGGGTAGGTATTCTTTGAATATTTCAGTTTCTAGTAGCTGCCAGCAATCTTTGGAGTTCCTGGGCTTATAGTTGCATCTGCCGTGTGGGTGTCTATCTTCATACGGTGGCTTCCCCCTGTTTAGTCTGCTCTTTTTATAACTCATAAAGCATTAGGTTTAGGACCCACTCTCTGGTGGTGCAGTGCCCAAGACATTTGACTGCTAACCAGAAGGTTGGCAGTTCAAAGCCACCAGCCACTCCACAGAAGAAAGATGGGGAAATCTACTTCCATAAAGATTTACTGCCTCAGAAACCCAGTGGGGGTTGCTATGAGTCAGAATCAACTCCATGGCAGTCGGTTTAGTTTGGTTTGGGTCTGCATAGGTATGGCCTCATTTACATAACAAAGAAAATATCTTACTCCCAAACAGTATCACATCCACAGGTACAGGGGACGGAATTTCAATACATATTTTTGAGGAATACAATTCAATCCATAACAGTGGTAACTGTAGAGTTAGCATATGTCCATGTGGATGAGTATCCACGTGTAAATATGCATTTAAATGACGGCTTTTTAATGTCCTCATCTCTAAAAAGGCACAATACACAATACATCAGAGTAGCCGTGGCATATCACTTACTCTTGACATCTCTGCTCCCCACTCCACAGCCCACATCCCCGTTGGGTATTATTAGCTATACTTTACAGATGGCAAGAATGAGCCTGTGCAGGACAAAGATCACCTCGTCAGTCAGCGTTGGAACTGGATCTGAACCGAGTTTTGTCTTGGTCTACACTGCCTGGTTTTCATGCTGAAGGCCCCTGCTTCCTGAGAGAGCTAGCTTTGACCTCCTTTACCCAGCCCTGAGCAGGCTCTGCCCTGCCCCCACCCTGGCCTGTGTCATTGGCCTGCCTTCAATGAAAGTGGCAACACTCAACTCTGGGAAGTGCCTCTCTTAGGGCCAATGTGTAAGGCACATTGACCATGCTGGCCCTCCCCAGTGAAACATCCCCAGTGAAACGGAGCCCTGTAGAGAAGACAAGACCCATTCAAAAGTCGGCATGACTCAGTCACCATACCACTGACAACCACTGTGGGTCTTTCCCAGGCCACTGCTGACTCAGATGGCAAGCCTGTCCCTCCCCCCACTGCTAAAAATATAAGGAAAGGAATTTCCCACCACTTACACTCTCCAGTGCTTTAGGTTTCTCCTCCTCCTCTCCACCCCTCCACCCCGCCCCCAGCACTTCAGCTCTTACTTAGAGGCCTTGACTCTCTAGTTTGCTACTAAAGGTGCAGGTGCAAGATTTTAGACTCCAGTATGGCTGCCAAGGGAGCTCTGGTGGCACAGTGCCCAAGGAATTTGGCTGCTAACCAGGTTGGCCGTTTAAACCCACCAGCCACTCCGCAGAAGGAAGACTGGGCAATCTATTTCTGTAAAGATTTACCACCTCGGAAAACCAATGGCGGTCGCCATGAGTCAGAATCGACTGGATGGCAGTGGGTTTGAGTTTTTAGTGGGTGGGGCCGCCAAGAGCTCAGCCCCCAGGGCATGTTTGCACCATCCAGGGCATTCTCTAAGAGGAAAAAGGTCCCATTTATCTTTTTTGTAGGTGATTTACCCCAAGGGTGAGGTGACAGGGAGCTAGTATTCATTGACAGACTACTCACGATGTCAAATTAATGGATTAATTTGTCTCAGCAGCCCCAGCAGGCAGTGGTCAGCATCCTCATGTCACTGCAGGGAAATTGAGGCTGAACCAGGCCAATATGTTCAGCCAGCTCACCCAGCCAAACTGGGTAGAATCAGGTTTAAAGCCAGATCTACCCGATACCAAAGCCTGCACTGTTTCCATGAAAACACCGCCTCCCGAAACATAGAATACTTTGTGCCTGGCTGAAACCAGACCCTGCAGCTTAGGTGACACCCGTGGCCCTGCTCACTGTTCCCAGAGGCCCCAGAGAGAGCAGAAGGGGGCCGGAGAGGTGAGGGCAGAGGCTACCCAAAAAGCTCACTCCAAGGGCTTCCTTACTGGCCAGAGCTTCTGGGTTTTCTTCCTGAAATGTTGACATGGAATAAAATACCATTGAACTGGAAAATGAGCCTATGACTCCAAGCCTCTGAGTAATTTCCACGTCCCAGAGAATGAAGGGGAAGTTGTTTAGCAGGTTAGCCAGTGAAGGAAACGGAAGTTTTTTCACTTTGTACATTTTAATCATTTGCTTGGACAAATAACTTGCAAATTGATGGGCCTCAAAGATCCTTAACTCACATCTTTGCACCCTTCCCTTCCCTATTTCCTCATAAAACCTGCAGGTCTTTCACCATTTCCTTTCATAAGGTGGAAGTCCCTCAGTGGTGCAAACAGTTAAAATACTCAACTCCTAACCGAAAGGTTGGAGGTTCAAGTCCACCCAGAAGTGCCTCAGAAGAAAGGCCTGGTGATCTACTTCTGAAAAACTAGCCATTGAGAGCACAGTTCTACTCTCTGCTCTTTTCTGCTTTCTTATGCAGTCTGCAGGTCTTTAACCATCTCCTTTTATAAGATGAACACTGTGAGAAAGACCACAAAGTGCAGGGTCCAGTGCTTGCCCTAGTCCAGGAAAAGCAGTGCAGTGAAAGGAGAGTAGGTAGAGGCCAAGACTCCGTATACAACATCATTTCTGCCACTGATCCTGGACGGGCATCAATGACTGTTTAGGTGAAGCTGTCATGGCCTTCATGTGTTTTCCTGACCTAACAGACTGCACTGTGAAACCCTGCACCAAGCAGCTGCACCTGACCCTGGCCCATAAGTTCTACCCTCACCACCAGAGGACGCTGGAGCAGCTGGCCAGAGCCATCCCCTTGGGCCCCGGCTGCCAATGGACAGCTGCGCTGTACTCCCGAGACATGCGCTTTGTACACTACCAGGTGAGTGACCAGGCCAGCAGGCCTCAGACAGAGAACCCCTGTGTCAATGCAACTGAATCAAGTCCCCTCTATGGGAAACCACATCCATGACCCTCAGCTGATAGAGTACTTATCTCTGTGGGCTTTCTGCTGGGGTGTTTTTGCAGCAAAGAAAACTTCTTTTCCTTCTCTAAAATCTCTTGCTTTCTTGTTAAATTTATGCAACTTGGAGCAAATATTCTTTTATATAAAGGTCCTTGGGTGGTGCAAACAGTTTGCACTTGACTATTAACCTAAGCTTTTTTTTTTTTTTACTTCATTTTATTGAAATATAATTTATGTACAGTGACATACACAAAGCTAAAGTGAGATGGGTCAATGCGGTTTTTTTTTCAGTGTTCCCTTCCCTCCCCTCCCCTCCCCTCCCACCCCTGGCAATCAATAAAGAAAGTTTCCCTCCATATATAAACCTTCCCTTGACCCTCCACAACAACAAACTAATACTGTATTTGTCCTTCTGTGAATGACTTATTTCACTCAGCAAAATGTCCTCCCAGTTCATCCACATTTTGCAATGTTTTGCAGACTCTAAATTATTCTTTAGTGCTGCATAGCATTCCATTATGTGTATGTACCATAGTTTGGTCATCCACTCTTCAGTTGATGGGCACATAGGTTGTTTCCATCTTTTTGCTATTGTAAATAGTGCTGCGATGAACATGAGTGTGAATATATCTGTTCCTGTCCTGGCTCTCACCTCTCTAGGATATATATACCTAGTAATGGGATTGCTGGGTTAAATAGTATCTCAAATTCCAGATTTCTAGGGAATCATCATATTGCTTTCCACAGTGGTTGTATCCCTTCACAGTCCCACCAGCAGTGTAGGAGAGTCCCAATCTCTCCACATCTCTGCCAGCATTTGCTATTTTCTGTCTTGTTGTACCTTGCCATCAGTGCTAGGGTGAGATGGTATCTCATTGTTGTTTTGATTTACATCTCTCTGATGGCCAATGATCATGAGCATCTCATCATGTATTAGCTGGCCACCTGAACATTCTCCTTGGTGAAGTGTCAATTCATGTCTTCTGCCCGTTTTTCAACTGGATTGTTAATACTTTTGGTGTTGAGGCAGCGGAGTTTTCTATAAATCTTGGAGATAAGTCCTTTGCCAGATATGTAATTATTGGCAAATATGAATTTGTTGCTGTCATTTTTGTTATGTGCTTTTTTGTGGTGTCAATTTCTTTGTTCCATATAATTTTCTATCCTGAGCTCATTTAGTTTATGAATTGTGTTATCACTTTGTTGCTATTGTGTTAGCATTTGCTAAATATTTGTGCTGGTCCACTTTTTTATTTTGATGTGAAGGTTTATCATTTTTCTTTGAGGTTACCCTGTGATTTTATAGTTTTCTTCCCAAGTTTAGAACGGTCTGTTCTATCCTGTAGTTGTCTCAATATCCCTACCATCTAGAAGTTCTGTAATTACACAGGTTTGGTTTGTAGTCATCCTCATTTGTCAATTGATGTCTCTGGTTCCCTGTTTACAATATAGTAGGCTTATTTACTTTGGATATTTCCATAGCTGGGTTGGTTTCTGGGTTATATCATCATGTGTGTTAAGGGTCAGTTGTTGTTGGCTGTTGTTGCTTCTCTGTCCAAAGGGCTCCCTTTAGCATCTCTTGTAAGGTTGGTCTGATTTTAACAAATTCCCTTAATTTCTGCGTATCTGGAAATGTCCTAATTTCACCATCATATTTGAGGGACAGTTTTGCTGGGTACATAATTCTTGGTTGGAAATTTTTCTCTTTCAGAGTTTTATATATACCGTCCCGTTGTCTTCTTGCCTGCATGGTTTCTGCCAAGAAATCCAAGCTTAGTCTTATTGGTTGCTCCTTGTAGGTAACTTTTAGTTTTTCCCATGCTGCTTTCAGGATTCTTTCTTTGTCTTTTGTTTTGGTGAGTTTGATGATGATATGTCTTAGTGATTTTCTTTTGGGGTCTATCCTGCTTGGGGTTCTTTGGACTTCCTGAATGGGATATATTCTCATCTTTCATCATAACAGGGAAGTTCTCTTCCAACAAATCTTGGACAATTTTCTCAGTGGTTTTATTTTTCTCTTCCTGTTCTGGAATTCCAGTGACAC